GGACCAAGCAGGCGGGCAGGCAGGCAGGCAGGTGACAGGGGCCCTCCCGGCAGGGGACGCCAGCTCTGGACACACGGGCGCTGCCCGGGGCCGCCCTCTCCAGCTGGAGTCCACCTTGCACGGCCCTCCCGCTGCCTCCGTTCTCGGGGATCTTGGTGAGCTGTGGCTCGGGTGCCTGGGGATCCCACGCGAGCTCAACACTGTTTCTTGGTAAAGGACTTAGTAACCTGCGTCTGTCTCCTCATTGGGTCTCCAGAAGTGAATCTCGGAAGGAATGTATGTGGTGTTAGGTTGGATCCAGAAAGATGTCACTATATGACATATAAATCAAATTGCTTTCTTAAACTGTTTTTGCCTGCTTGGATTGTGTTCTCATTCAGGGCATGCTTTTGGAAGCTCGGTAGAAAACTCTGCCTGGGATTTTTTCCTTAAGCCACCTGATTAGCCTCTTGCGCTGTGTTAGCACCCTGACATCTCTCCTAAGTTCGACAGTAATAGCTGTTTCTTTTACTTTCTCTATTGCTCTCCTGGCTGAGTTTCCCAGCAGCAATGTGTCAAGAACTATTGCCAAGTTTAAAATTCTGTCCACGGCATGATAAAAGGAACCCAGGTGATGAAATAAACTCATTTCACAGCCCAGAAAACTGAGAAACCAAAGCTAAGATGAAAAATCTTGACCAAGGTCATTTAGCTAAAGCAGCGGCTGTCAAAAGGTGTTGGCCGGACCAAGAGCCCTGGAACTTCTTAGATATGCTTTTTCTATTAGCTCAACTCAGACCTATGGAGTCAGAATATCTGGGGTAGGACCCAGCTGAACTTGGTAATTCAGATGCATGCTAAATTTTGAGAACCACTGATAAACTGGGACAAGAATATATTTGGGAATAGAAGTGAGGTTTCCTGGTTCAGTCTCTTACTACTTTTTAAATTTTTATTTTCTAATCCTGCTGGTTGTTGTTATAATAGTATAACAACTATTGTTATACTATTAACTGTTATATTGTTATACTATTAATTGTTATACGATTAACTTGTCATTATAAAGGTTAGAGCTTATTTTTTTCATGTCTTTCCTAGAGCAGTACTGTCCAATAAAACCTTCTGCAAGGATGGAGATGTTCTATGCTTGTGCTATGCAGTACGGTAGCAACTAGCCACGTGTGGCTATTGAGCACTTGAAATATGACTAGTGTCATCAGGAAACTGAATTTTTTATTTTCATTAATTCCAATTTAAATAGCCAGGTGTGGCTAGCAGCTATGATATTGGACAGCTGTGACCTAGATTTTCAGTGAATGTGTGGTTAGTCTTAAGTAGACTCCCAGACATTTTGTGACAGTTTCTCCCCAGCCTTCAGTGTTTCTAAAGAAATGTCAATTTTGTAATAAGGAATGATTTTTGAAGTATAAAACATGTGTTTTTTAAATGCACATAAGTAGAAAGAAGGAAATAAATATAACCCATCACAAATCACTTGTAAACTTTTTGGCGTGTTTCTTTCCTGTGCATATATTACATAATTAGGACCATACTGTATGTACAGTTTTTTGCATCAATTTTTTCACCCAACTTTGTATTGTAAGCACTTCCACATCATTCAAAAATTATCCCAGAAAGAGAAAAAAGAAACCATGATGCAGGAGTCATAGACAGTGAAGAGAACGTTGGCACAAGGCCGCAATCTGGATATCTTTGCAAAGACTTTTTGCTGAGAATAACTGACCGAGGGTGTTAACCTGTCTGCCTCCTGGACTGTGGCATTGTCACCAAATTATATAAAGACATCACATAAGAAATGATAAAATGTTTATAAGAAGTAACATTCTGAAAGTAACTCTTTGGGCTAAAGGAAGAATAAGGAAAAAAAAGAAACAATGAGATGCTATGTCACTAACCTGTGGTTACTGGATAGAAAAGCGATATCACAAAAAGGATTTCTAGTTCTTTAAGGTATTTAAAATTATACTCGACTGTGTGGATCATACTGTTCTTAGAGCTATTGTTTATTTTTATAGACTTTTTGGGGTTTTTTTTAATGACCAGCCAAAGTGTTTCTAATATTTTGGACTGAATTCTCAGTAAATTAAATACCTCTTGTGAATAACATGTTTCTCCTTACTTCTAGAGTTGAACCTTTGAATTTTTATTTGGCTCAACAGTTTAGTGAAGGAACAGTCATGTGGAATAAAACAGATTGAAGCTACAAGGTAGAATGTGGGTCAAGTTCTAGCTCAGCCATTTCCCACTAGGCTACCTTGGCCAGTTACTGAGCCCTTCGTGCCAAGGTTCCCTGCTCTGTACATCAGGAATGGTGATCTTCCAGCCACCTCCTCAGGCTATTTTGAAAATGAAATGAAGTGATTTAAGTAAAAGGACCTTAGGCCACATTGTGTAACTGTCAGAGGTCGTGTGTCAGACTGTCTGGTGTCTGTTTAGGAAAACTCCTTTCTTATGAAAACCAATCCAGGACAGACTGTTGTTTCTAGAAAAGGCTGGCTCCTAAATTTTACTTTATTTGCCTTAATTCTCATCCTAGGTAGCTCACCCCACTTCAGGGACTATTTCCACTGCCAGTTTCCCTCAACAATTCCAGTAAGTAGATCTAATTTTAATATTTAATACTATTAAATTAATTATTAGTAATATTTAATATATTTAATTTTAATATTTAATATTATGGATATAAACATTTTTCAAGTGTTAACTAGGATATAATGTACGATATAACATGTTTCTTGATTAGAATTCATTATCCAAATCCTCCATTTCCAGGACTTGTTCTAATTAGTACAATTGTGGAAAAGTTTGAAGACACTGATTTTAATTTTCTTTCTTTCTTTTTTTTTTGGTGACTGGCAAGGGGATCGCAACCCTTGGCTTCGTGTTGTCCACACCACGCTCAGCCAGTGAGCACACCAGCCATCCCTATATAGGATCCGAACCTGTGGCCTCTGCGCTCCCAGCCCCACACTCTCCCGAGTGAGCCACGGGGTCGGCCCCTGATTTTAATTTTCTATATGTCTTTTGAAATTCAGAAAGAAGGAAGAATAACAGAAAATACACAATCTGACTCTAAAAAATTCAGGCATGATATATAACATTAAAATTAGCTTGTAGTTTAGTTC